TACCTCCATTACAGGTAAAGTGGCTAATTATATTTACAAAAGAGACTGCCTTAAATTCTATCTAGAAGGAGGGGGACAATTCAAGTCAACATATAAACACTCTTTATGTTTGTGAGTAGACATTTTTGATACATTATGGTTTCTGTACATTCACATTAATTTTGACCAAAAAAAAAAAAAGAAAGAAATCAGAATTTTCAAGCCACTAACTTCATACTTTTAACGATTAATTTTATAAAACTTCTTAAGTTAATACCTCTGGAAAGTAAAAAAGAAATTGAGAAAGGTCATTTGCCTTCAACAAAGGCGAACTAGGTAATTTGGACCAATGGTGGCAAAAGACCTTTCACTGCAAATCTACTGATTCTTTTGAATTTGAATCATGAATTACTTAATCAAAATACTAAGAAACAAGTCTTGAATCTAAGAGAGAAACAGTGTCAAAAGCACATTAGTGAGACATGTAACCAACTTCCAAAAGAGAGTTAAAAGCAGCTAGGTGGGCATTTGCCAAGCTTCTCTTCTGTACTCAATTTTTCATCTGTGTCTTTGGATCGCTTCGAAAAATATAAAACTAATTTTAAAGGTGAAAAGAAAATCGGCCCAACCCTATTGGCTTTACAGGTAGAGCGACTGAGGCCAGAGGGTGGCAGAGTTCACAAATAGGCAGCTGTGAACTCGTCAGAGTTTCCCTCCTCATGGCCAGGACTTGGAGTGGCAGTGTCTAAATGCCTTCTAATTAATGTTATTATTGTTATTATTATCAGATTAAGACATTTTTAGAATATTTTGAATAAAATTGACCTCTCATTCTGATCTCCTGTGCTAATAATTGTACCCTTTTTTATTCATTCAATTACAAGCAAATTGACAGGAGACATTTATATGAGGCAGCTTAAACCCCAGCTAATGGAGTGCCTAATGACTAATTGATCAGATCCCAGCCCAGAGAGCAGCTCTGAGTGGCCTAAAGGAATTTATGCAATTAGTTTAGGTTTGGTAGAAATTGAGTGCATATGAAAGTAAGCTTTTTATGGTCTTGATTTATGAGGGCTGGACACTAACTATATCTGCCAAGAGGTAAGCAGCCTAGAGAAGCCCCAGGCATTTGGGACTCGGCCTCAGACGACGAGGACAGGACGCAGGGGCTGGGAGCTGGGATGACGTTTGGGATCTGGGTAGGAGGAGCCCACGGGGTTGTAATTGGAGAAAAGACAGACATTAGGCGAGTGGGGTTGGGGTATTGCCAGAGCCCTCTTGAAATTACGGTGGCGTCCCCTCCTATGCATTTCAAAGTAAGAACAGTATTAATCCTAAGCATGGATTTTCAAAGGCGTATTTTGTGAGTAAAATTCTAAACTAAAACTCAAAAAAGGGTCTGTATCCTGCGCTGGGCTGGGCAGGTCTGGGCGCAGGGTGGGAGGGGCCAGAGAACTTACGTTTTATGGAGACAATTATTCAACGCGCGAGGAGGACTAGAAATCACGGCTGCAGAGGACTCCCGGGAAGGAGCCGGGCCCATTCCTCTCTCCGCAACGCTCCTCCCAAAGTCCTGGGGGCTCCCTCGACTGGAACGCTGCAGAGGGGAAGCCCCCTCCGCCGGCTTTGGGAGGAGCCGGGCGACCTCTGACCCGGCGGGGGAGCCCTGGGAGCTGGGAGCGCGCGGAAGCGCCGTCGAGGGGCGGGGGAAACCTGACCTAATCGGAAAAGAACGATCGAAGGGAAGGCTAATTTGTCCGCCGCTGGGGACTTGGGCCGACTCCGTCTGCTCGCCGGGGCGGGGTTACGGCGGGTGGGGCTCCCGTGTCTCCGGGAAAGAGAAAAGAGGGGAAAGGGACTTTCTGCTGGCGGGGAGACGCGGCCCAGGTCTCTCCTGCACTCTGGGATCAGAGTTCCGCGCCTGCGAACTCTGGGGGATGGCTAAGAGCCTGTTGCAAGGAGACGGGAAAGACGGGCGCGGACTGGGACGCGGATGTGAAGGGCAGAGCGAATAGCGGAGACGCCGCGTGAGTGGTGGCCCGCGTCCCAGCGGGGACCCCGAGGTTTCCGCCGCCTCTTCTGCTCCCGCGGCGTCTCAGCCAAATCCCGGGAGCCCGGCTGCTACCACCCCCTGCAGCCCGCAGTCTAAGTTGGGTCTCTTTTGGGGACGGGTAAAGCGAATCAGCACAAGCTTTTCCAGATCTCCCAACTTAACTGCTGTGCTCACGGCTTGCTCCAAATCACTCTAAGTTCTCATCTGGAAAATGGGAGTTTAATTTATATCAATACATGTTGTTCTTTAAGAATTGTAGATGAATGAATGCACATGAAGTGTTTGGAACAATAGCTGAAATGCAGAAAGTGCTCAATACATACTTGGTATAGTTAGTGTTATTTGTTAATTTATACGACAACCATTTGTAGGCGCTCACTCTGCGAGGCGCTGCGCTGGGGTTGGGGTCAGAGGGGCGCTGGGAAGATTGCTCTTCCTGAACCTCCTTACTGCTAAATAAATAAACAGGATGCTATGAGGGATTAATAAATAAAACGGGGTAGTGTGATGAAGGGACTGGGGACTAGAGTTATTTTAGGTAAAAGGAAACAGCTAGGTCCCTCCGCCCCTTCCCAACCTTACTGTCTCTTTTTACTACTTAAGTAAAAGGCGCGGGTTGGGGAAAGATGGGGGGCGCTTAGGCCCAGCCTAGTGGTGAAAGGCTTAGGACACAGCACTGCAAACTCTCAGCAGCCACCTCAGTGCGAGTTCAATCCCAGGCCCGAAAGGTGATCCACACAGAGCAGCAGACCTCTCCTGACCAGCCCGCTGCTCCCCTCAGCAGTGTACTTCATCAATCTGCCTGTTCTGCTCCCCACTGTCTCTGATGAATCCTCTTACTCCCTGCAACTCTGGCCTGTACCCTAGCTCTGTGTGCCTAAATAAATAAATCTTAAAAAAGAAAAAGAAAAGGAGGTCTTCGCCTTTTTTTTTAGTAAAAGAATGGGGACTTTTGGTGCTCTGCCCTGTCCACTCACTCTCTGGTGCTGGGCCCCAAAGCTGGAGAGGAGGGGTTTGGTGGAGACCAAAGACCTCATCCCCTGGCCTCCCCTGTCCACTGGAACCCCGCCCCAGGGGGCAGAGCTGCTTGCTGTCTCAGTTACCCCGCAGACTAGATGCTTGCCAGGACTGTGCAGGGGAGGAAGACAGGAACTTGAGAAGCCAGGGATTAGGGTAAAGCTTCTCATTGGGAACTATGTATTGGCATCATAGACTTCTGGAGAAAGAACTCATTTCCCTTTTGTGGCTGGGACTTCAAAGAGATTTCCTTTATACATTCCAGTCTGCCCCTGACAAGGTGGGGGAGAGCTAGTGGGCAGTGCTGTAGGGGAACTTTACAGGGGAACAGTTGCCCCATAACTTTATCCTTTTGAAGATAAGGTTTTAAAGAGACTAAGTACCCATTAATGCCTGCTCTAGAGTCAAGTCTTGGGCTTATGTGATTTCAGGTAATTTGGCAATCAATCCTGAAAGATAGTCTTCTTTCCAATTTTACAGATGAGAGCCTTAAAGTTCATCTACTCAAATTAGAGATGGAGTTGGTATTCCACCCCATTCCAGATCAGGTCTTTACATCCCAGCAGGAACTGCTAGAACCCAAGTCAGGTTCACTCAGCTGGGCAGAGGTCACACCCTGATCCTCCCACTTTCCTTCTCTGGAAGTAATGAGCGCCTCTCCGTAGCCATAGTCACCAGAGAGTGACAAACAGCCTCTTCCAGTTTAAATAGGAATGTAACAGACTGCTTTTGAAATGCAGACCACTGTGACGACCAGGACCCCACTCCTGGGGAGACTATATTCTTGATGGTTGCAGTTTTTGCCTCCTGTTTCTAAAATCCAAAGAGGATTGGCCTGGAAGAGCCAAACAGTCTCATTCAATTATTGACAGATACCTATTGCCTGAAACTTTGAGCCAGCTGGGACTGAACATGAAAAGATGAACAAACTAACACTACTTTAAGCACAGAGAGAGGATGCTTCTGGCTGGAGACCGCACAGCCCAGACTCTGAAATCCAGGATTACTCTCTCAGGTCTACTTGCCAGGACTTCAACCACGTTGGCTTGTGTTTGCTTCCAGTTAATTTGGGTCAGGTCCCGGTTCCAGGAAGGCAGGTATCTGGAAGCCTTGCCCCATGGTCCACAGAAGATTCTCAAAGTCCCACCTTGAGTAGACTATACAAACAGTCCTTACAAACGTCCCTGAATGTTGGCCTCACTTTCTCTTGGCGCAGTTCAAACAAACTCCCAGCTAGGACTTGGACGGTGACCATTGCAAGTTGGTGGATTTGGGAAAGGAAATCTGCCCTAGGGTGCTTTTCAATTATTCAAAATAATGTTTGTGAGGGTTTCAGCCTAGAGAGGTGATAAGACTTGCCCAAGATCACGCCATTAGGAAAAGGCACGCCAGGCTGAAAACCAGGCCTTTTACGAACCCCAAATCGCATTTACGAACCCATCCTACACACATTCTCTCTCTCTCTCTCTCCCTCTTTCTCTCTCTCTCTCTCTCACTGGAGAGGTCTGTGCCTCTACCGGACACATGGCAATGGCGACTGCACTATTCCGGAGAAACCACAGCTCCCATTGCTTCCTGAACAAGCCCAAAGAGAAAGGCACCGGCGCCGAATAGGCGCGCTGAAGGGTGGGAGAGAGTGGAGTTCTTGGTGGCGCTGGCCGCAACTCCCGCCTGCAGGTAGAAACAGATCAAAATACTCGTGCGAGCTGGCTGTCCCCGCGCCTGAAATGAGACCAAGTGTAGCGGTGTGGGTCCGACTCAACCCAACTTTAGTGGGCTTAGCGCAAATCTTGCATTCAGGAGGCTCATCTCACGTTTGCGGAAAAAGTCACCCAAACTTTTGAGATAAATCTTTTTTAAGCTAAGCAAATAACAGACGGGAAATTTTCGAAATGGCGATGGAAGAGGATATAGCGTTCCTTCCGAGGCCAGAGAAGCCAAAGGCTCTTACCTGCAGGAAACCTCGAAGCCGGCAAAGGCGCGTTGGTCTGGAACGCTTAGCTTCGGCGTGGGACTCTCAGGGCCGCCTCCTCTGCAGCCAGGCTGGGCTCCGGCCCTGTGTTTTATACCACTATAGGCAATTAATATTGCATCAGCCGTATTTTAAATTTTCAAAACCCACAATATAATGTAATGGCATAAGGGCATTTATTATTAAAGGACACCCGTTGGAGAGGGAGCTGGAGGAATCCTTGGGGCTATTGCGCAAGGCGGGGGCAAGGGGCTGAGGCCCAGAGGCTGGGGGCGACCCCCAAGTTAGCTTTTGTAGTAAGGGGGCGCACCCCTGCGAGGGGAGCCACGCTCTGTTTCGAGTTTCCAGCCGGTGGTCTAGTGACCCAGAGTTCTTTGAAAACACAGTTGGGAAATGTGCAGAGGACTCTTGGACTTGGAGAATTAATTTTTAAATCATGAAGGCGTTTCTGCGGCTCACAAATAAAAAGGTTTCCTCCCCCTTTTAGAGGCAGTGGAAAAGAAGGGAACTGGCATCCGTTGAGCACCTACTATGTACTTAACACTACGCTAGCATCGCTAGCATCGTTGCTGAAGATACTTAGCCCCGACAGAACAGGTAACCTCATGAATTACAATTCCAAATGAGTTTTGGAATTTTCAAAGAAGCTCGCAAGGGAACCCAAGCATCTCTGACACAGAGAAGGAACATTTTCTTCTCTCTTTGTTTCTAAGCCCTCAGCTACTATCTAGTTATTAGAATCTTTTAAAATAATGTTTCCTGTTAAGTGCCAAGTACTACTACTAAACTCCTTAAACAAATGACTTAGTTCTGACAATAACTTTCTGCATTAAGAATTAACATCTTCATCTTGCAGACAAGAAACAGAGGCTAAGAGAAGTTAAGAAATTGCCTTCAAAATCTTCACCCAATGATTGGAGGCATGGGGCAAGGACTGTACCCCCAACAGTCAGTCTTCAAAGTTTGTGGTCTAAATTGAGCTAACAGAAGCTGATAGATTCTCAGGTGGGGAAGCATGAAGGCAAGTGCCTTGAAACTCTGAGGTCTGGACAAGCTCCTGGATCTTCAGGGAGATCTACATGAGAGGGTAAGCAGGCCAAGGAAAAGGTGAAAGGCGAGGAGATGGCAAGAAACTGACCCAATGAAAGTGACAGCCCAGCCTCCGAGGTTCTCACTTTTAAATCCTTTCCAAGACTCGTTCTCAACTCCGAGAAAGAAAAGCACTATGATTCGGGTTGAAAAATAAAGCATTTATTTTAGAAGTTAATTCAAAGGATTAGGAGAGAAGAAAGCTTAGTATTTTATTTGTATCTATTCAGAGAATGAAACCAAAGGTCACACAGCAACACACAAATTACATAAAACAACGAAAGAATAAAATGTGAAGGGGCCAGAGGGACTGGGGTGAGAAGGGACCAGGCAGGTGATCTGACCCCCTCTTTCCGGCCAGAACTATAAGTGAATTTCCATCCAGAGACACCCATCTAAGGGGAATGGAAAGAAGTGGAGTTAAATAAATACTAGGAGATAACAATGCCAACAACAATAATATACACTGTGAGGAGGTTTGACTTAGAAGGACTTGCATATGATTCTGAGAAGTAACGATTACTTTCGAGCAGGTGCCTCTGCATTCTGTGATGGGAGGCTGCTTGGAACACTGAGCAGGTGATAGTGTCCTCAGTTCTTCCAAACACTACAATCAATCCCCCACCTTGCTCTCCAGCAGTTGATAATTACCCCTCAAAAGCCAGCAGACGGTGGAGGATGGGTCAGAGCAGGTGCTGGCTGCTACTTGTATATAGCTAAGTGATCCCAACATTTTCAATGCTGAATTTGGCCCACCAGTTCGGAGCCTTACATACCCCTGAACAGCTCGGAGACTGCAACTCCATGCACACTTTCCCTGATTCTAATCCATGCTACTTGAGGGAATTAATTTACAGCAACCCAAAGGATGGGGTGGATTAAAATATAGACTGGGGAGGGAGTATAAGGCTATCCTTTGGAAACATACATATATTTTATATACTCTAAATAAATCTCCAGTACATGTTTGTGCCTCTTATACACTTCGTATAATTATGTATAATTTCCTTCCCATCCCTTTACCCCTCGCCTAACCGCGCGCAGCAAAGTGGCGCCTTAACTAGCGAGTCGTGCGGTTGGGACGATTCACTTTATCCCCTCTGTTAGGGCTCTTGCCTGTGAGAGCGCAGTCCAGCGCGCGAGGGCGGATTTCAGCACCACGGACAGCGCCAAGCTGTGCCCTTCGTGATTTTTTTTTTTTTCTTAGCGCCAAAACTTTTCTGACAGGAATAAAAAGAGGGAGAGAGGAAGAGAAGGCCGGAGGCAACCGGGCAGGATAAAGGAGGGTAAGTCTGTGGCTTTAGGGTAGAGAGCCTGACCTTCCAGGAACGGTCTTGGAGTCCCACATAAGCGTCCCCTCCCCTTGATGAGGTGTGGGTGGAAGAACACTCAGCTCTCCGGGCCCCTGACGCTGCATCCCGTCGCAGTCAGTGGACAGCCGAGTACTTCATTCGTTTCTGTTTCTGTCTCTGGTTGCAGAACCAGACCCTCACCACGTTCTTTTTAAGGTCCAGCTTTTCAGCAATGGCCGCGATCTTCTCGGATGAGGGCCGAGGCTGGATGGCAAAGTAGGCCTCGAGTGAGCGCTTTTCGGGTGCAGCGATGGACGTGCGTTTGCGCTTCCGTTCACTGCCGTTGAAGAGCTCCGGCTTGCTGTTTTTCTCTCTGTAGGCAGCCTCGGCTTCCTCCAGCCAGGCCTGGAGCACCGGTTTGAGCGCGATCATGTTGTTGTGCGAGAGAGTGAGAGACTCGAACCTGCAGATGGTGCTCTGGCTAAGCGAGCCTACACCGGGGATCTTGAGGTTGGCGAGAGCCGCGCCCACGTCCGCCTGAGTCACCCCCAGCTTGATCCGCCGCTGCTTGAAGCGCTCAGCGAAGGCCTCCAGCTCTCGCGGGTCCGACTCTACGTCGCTGAGGCACGCGGGCATGGCGCTGTGAGGCGCCACAGCATGTGGGTGGCTCATGCCCATGGCCTGGTGAAGGTGGCCCATGGCACCCAGGTGGTGCGGGTGGATCTGTGCCGGCATTACAGAGTGCTCTGGAGCTCCCAAGCCGCTCACGCTCAGCGTGGGCGAGATGTGCTCAAGCAGGTCGCCCTCGAGGCCCTGGTGCACCGCGTGGTGCGGGTGCGAGGTGAGCGCTGCCGGGTGGGAAATGGGCACGGTGGACGAAGTGGACGTGCAGGGCACGCTGCTCATGGTATGGTAGGTGGCGTCGGGCTTGAACGGATGGTTCTTGCCGTGGGAGACGATATCCACAGCCGCCAGAGCTTCGGCGCGTGCCAGCAGGCTCTCATCAAAGCTTCCAAATATATTACCCTGCAGCTGCAAGCGAGAAGGCACACGGCACGGTCAGTAGGGAATACTGTCAACTCAGGATTAAAACACATTTTCAAGCAACCGAGATGCCTCTCCTCAAAGCCCAGGTCATAAAAATTAATACGGAGACAGAGGCTCTGCTGGAACAGACGTGTGGATCAGAGACATGAATGAGAGAGAGAGCGCGCGCGCGCCGGGAGAGAGCGCGGGGGAGACGAAGAGAGGGGTTCAGACAGAGGCGATTGTTCTGGGCGACATGAAAAAAACATGAAGCAAGTGCCTGTCAAAAAATGTGCCTTAGAGCGGTAATTATGCTCCACTACGTACCTGCGGGGCTGGGAGACAGACTCGGCGCATGGCCTCGGAGCCGGAGTGCAGGCTGGAGAATTTGGGCTCTTGAAGCACGGGGTGCATGCCGAAAGGCTGCTTGGCGTTCATGGCCATCATCTTCGCGCGCCTGGCAAGGAGACAGCGAGGGACATGGATCAGGCTCGTCTCGCTCGCTCGCCGCACTCCAAGTGAGCGCCGCTCAGCGCCCGCACTCCCCTCGCGCTCTAGCTAGCTGCCTCCCCTCTCCCCCACCTGCTTCTTCACTCATCTTACAAGCAGCCTGCCAGGAAGGGCCCGGGAGCGCGCAGGCGTGCTCACGAGCCCGGGACTCGCAGGGACGGCCCGGGAGGCGAGGCCAGGCGGCAGCTCTCCGCGCGCCTCTCTGCGCCCGCCGCGGCCGCCCGCGCACAGCATTTATAGCCGGGCCCGGACCTGGCCTCTCCCGGTCCGCCCCGCCCCGCCTGGCTCCAGCCCGACAGACCTTTTCTGTACTCTTCTTCTTTTACTTCCCGCCCCTCCTTGACTCCCCAAATCCTAAGCCTCTTCCTCTAGTCCGAGCGCGCACAGTCCAGCTGGAAGGGCAGCCCCGGACTGAGAGGGGCCAGGAAGCTGACCCTACTCCAACCCTCCCCCACATGCACACTGTCTGTCGGCCTTGCTGCCGCCAAAGGCCCATTTCCAGGGCGCTCCTGGCCCCACGCCCGAGCCGTCCACTAGAATCCGACCTCGCGGCGCAGCGAAGAGGCGCCTCCAAGCACCCAGACGGGCTCCAGGGAGGGTGAGGGGCTGCCAGAATGAGCCCCTGGTGACCCCTCACTCCCCAATCTGCCGCCCGGTGGACGCAGAGAAAGTAACTGCCTGCCCAGTCCAGAAGGTTTCCTCCCCACACTAGCCTTTCTTGCCTTCGCTTGAGAAAGACAGCTTGGCTCCCTCCTTTCCCCAGCCTGCCAGTCTGAGGGAGCTTCTTGTGTATTTTTAGACAGTAAGAATTCAGAACTTCCTGCTGGCCTTGGTAGTCGTCAAAGCACTTCTGCTAGGTCACCTCCCCTATAAGACCCACACCCCATTAAAAACAGCTTCCATTTTTGAACTTCTAACATCTGCCAGGTAATTTGGAGTTAGTTCACTGTAGCCTCATTCCCTATGGCCTAAGTTGTTATTCCGTTTTACAGATGAAGAAAAAGAGCTTAGGAGCAGCCACTTCACAAATGTTGACTGAAAGCCCTACTACGAGCCTAATGCTGTGACTGACTTAGCAGGTTTCTAACCTCTTCAGCTGCTTATTTCTTCCTCCCCCAAGTTTCGGGGACCTAAGTGCCCCGCGGTTAGTACTGCCCCGCCTCTTTCTCCCCTCAGCTTTCATCCCCTCTCCTTCCTTCTCTCTTCTCCTTTCCCCGCGCTAGTAAACATCATGAATAATGTATGGAGAATCCTGGTACCGCGGCAGCACTTGGCCCTCGGGTTAGAAAGAAGCCCCTGCGCCCAGCTGAGCCCACCACCCCACCACCACAGCCTCCTTCTAAGCAGTCTTTGGGTTTCCACCCGCCAGGCCAGTCTTAGACTAGGCCTCATACTCTGTGCTTCTGGGCTGGGTTTCCCAGAATCTTGACGTGGGGGTGGGAACCACCACTCCCTCACCCACTCATTTGGTCTAAGAGGAATCCTGCCTAGGACTGGGATAGCTCTACCCTCTGGTTTCCCCAACCCCACCTCTCAGATCTGCCTGGGAACCAGCCACCTTGCCTGGGTTCTACCCTCCAACAGCAAAAGAAGGCCGATTGAGGTGCAACAGCCCAGAGTTGCTGTCACTGAGAGTAACTCAGTTTCCCAGATTCTGAACTAAATTGCCTGTCTGCTTGTCTTCTTGGGTTCTGGTGAAGGTGTTTCAAGATAAAATAGGAAGACAAGCATTAGAGCACCCAAACAAGTGCTCAGAAGCCAGACTAGTGTCACAGCCTAGTGTTTAGGGGTGCAGGTACTGCCTTCAGATTCAACCCTGCCTTTTGGGGGCAGGAGCCCATGAGCCATCTCAGCTTATCTGTACTGCAGTTTCCTTATCTGTTAGAAATAATAACTGATTGTTGTGAAGAATACACTGAGATAAGCATTGGCACCGTGCCTGGCACGTTGGAATCATGAAAGAAATATGTGTGTTCCTCTCGCTTCCTCCCTCAATTTAAAGAGAAAGCATGTGGAAACGGCGGTGGTCTGGATCATCTCCCTGGAGAACTGTCTGTCTATAGGTGCAAACTTTCTTTCCTTCATTCATTCAACACCTGCTTTGTACCAGACTCCAATGAGAGGGCTGAATCACAGATGTGATTCAGACTCCATCCCTGGTTTCACGGCATCACCAGTCTAAAGTCCACTGCAGTAAACTTACTGTAAACTTGTTCTGCAGTGCGGAATGTGTTGATTCGCATACTAGACATAGTGCAAGGCTAATGGGATTCTTGAAATACAGGGTATACATCAGAATGCTGGACCAAGGGACATCTGGGTTTGGGACAACATTCTAACACTGGGTCTTAGGAGACTATGACTGGGCTTCAGTGTACTCATAAGGAGAGGTCAGGACAGAGATAGTTGCTGAGTGCTTCCAACTCAAGCAGAAGATTATTGGTTAATGTTAATGAAACGCATTTGGAGTATGGCAGGAGTTTCTCTCCAGGAACACTAATTCCCCAGAAGTTGGATGCAGGTTTATCACTCACTAGTATTTAGATCTACTCCTTCTTGTTTTCTGTTCAACATTGGAAACCAAAAGGGAAAGAGAGAAGAAGGTGATACTGGATGCTCCAATGAGGAGAATCCGTAACTCTCCTGGCCCCATGATGCCCTGAGACATATTCACTCCACATACCCTACTCATCTATGCAACTGTAGCCCTAGTAATAGAGGGGAAGGCCCATCCACATCCATCCTCCATTGCTTTGTCCTCAGGGGCCTGGGAATTACTGACTAGGGCTGAGGTCAGGCAGGGGTCAGAGCCAGAGCAAAGTCATCTGGCCTTAGTGCTCCAATGATAACCTGCAGCTCATCAAACCCCATTTCAGCTTTTTGAGGTATTAGGGTCACAAATGAAAAACCATGCTGGCATCTGGCAACCTGTGTTCCTGGGGTTTTCCCATTCTTTTCTTCAAGAAGGTCTACTAGCAGTTTTATGCAGCCAGCAGTAAAATGACACCCATCCCTGGGGATCAGTCTTTCTGTGAAAGTGAAAGCACTGGAGATAAAGGGCTTAAGGGGTGTGGGGAGAGAGAAAGAAAAGACCATATAGAAAGCAAGTGGAAAGATAGCCTTAGAATGTGATTGATAACATCCTCTACATTTTACCGGATTTGCGAATTTAAATTGGCTGGGGGAAAGTCCAGAAAAAGAAATAATCTGAAAGTATGAAAAGGAAGATTGGAACTATGGAGAACATGTACCCCCAAACTCATCTTCATGGCACTAAATTACAACGCACACATACAACACAGACAAAGCAGAATTAGCCAGAGTCCGAGTAAGGACCACATGGGAATGGACGCAACTAACACCACAGAGGACAATTTCTTCATTCTACAATCATCTCAGAATGTCTACTGATGACTGGGTCTTGTGGTAGGTTGCACAGGTATCAGGTGTGCTGCTTCAGGATCTTCGTCAGGAACACAAAATTGCTCTTGTAACTTTATTCATGACACAGAGCACTCTAGCCTCCAGAAGAGCTAGCTCCTGGAACTCAGGGGTGGGATGGCAGACACATTTTCCTGTTGACCAGTGCTTTTTAACATCAACATTACTAGGAATCATCTCAAGTCTAAAAATACTGTAACCTAGGATCACACCAGAGATTGTGATCGCAAAGACTGAAGTTCTTAAGAGACATCTGTGATTATTTGCAGGTGATATGGGACTCTTAACTTGAAAAACTCTCTCTGGATCTTTCTTACCTATCATTGTTGTCATCATCATCATCACCATCATCAACATCTTAAAGTCCAGACCTAATTATGCACATTTCACCAGGACTCAAGGAGGTTCCTTCTTTGAGTCTTTTGCATCTTTTATGATCAGTTTAGTATGCACATAGTATTTTATGATCTCTTCCTTGAATTAAGTTAGAACAACTCTGAAGATGACTCTTACATCGGTCCCTACAGCTATGGCCCTGAGGTCTAACATAACCTGTGTTTTGTGAATAATGTCCCACCCCCAGAGCACTGGCCTGTGCTGTGGTGACAGCAGGAAGTCATTTGTGAAGTGGAAGTCATTTGTGAAGTGGTGCCTTTATGCCACACACTCTAAGCCGTGTGCTTGCAAAATTTGTACATTGAGTGCCCATAACAAGCCTGTGACATTGATATTATTATGTCCATTTTATAGATGAGAAAATTGGGGCACAGAGTAACCCAAGCTCACACAGCAAACGTGGTAGGATTAGAACCCAAGTTTATTTGACTCTGGAACCCACACTTTTAAATGGTGTCCTGCATGGCCACCAGTTGCCCCGCCATCACGCAGGGACTGAGGGAGTCGGGTAACCGAGCTTTGCTTTTCATGCAGAAGGGGGAAAACCTGCTTTCACTGGCTCCAAGGCTGGCACCACGCCAGGAGCGCTTCCGGCTAAGAGCAGAAGTTAGATCCTACCCCCTCCGGCCTCCATTCCTGGCCGAGTTCCACATCCAAGAGTTGGGGTTAGGAAAAAAAGGGGGGTGGAATGGGAGATGGCCCTGATAGGTCGCCCGAACTCAAGATGCCATCGCGGGAGGCAGCTGGCGGGGCTGCGGGGCCAGGTGTTCTCAGCCGCCTGCCTCGCCTTCCTCTCCCTTTCTCTTGTCTCCTTTCACAAACTTCTCACATGTACCCTGCCGCCTGCGCAGCTGCTGTAGACTCGCCTGTCGGCCGCTCGCCTCGCATTGTCTGTGCCGGGCTCAGAAGATTCGAGACGCCCAGAGGGACTCGGGAGCCCGAGGCCGGGGCTCTGTGAGGGGTCGGCACGCGCCAGCAGCCCTCCCCTACGCTGGAGTTCCAGCGCAGATCCAACAGACCGAGCACCAGGCAGTAGGGCTCCAGGCTGGGTCCTGCTTCTTGGTGACCCCAACTTCCTTACCTGAAAAATGAGGGAATTGAGTCCAGGGCTCTCCAAGATCACCACTGTGCATTCTTTTATTGAGCACCTTTATTGGCCCCCTACTTATGTGGCGTTTGCAGTGTTAGAGGTAAGTATTCAGCTGCAAACAAAACAGACAAGCCTCTTCCCCATCAACTCCCTTCCCCACCGAGGCTTCAGTAGAAGGTGAGTAAGGGACAAGATAGCCTGCCACAGTGACAACGGCCAGGGAGAAGAACAGCAAGTGATGGGACAGAGAATGCACGGGCAGA